AGCCCAACCATGTGGCAGACCTGGCCGCAATTCCTGAGCTGCAGGGTGAAGCGCGCGGAGGAGCGTGCCAACGGCCCAGATGCTCCCGCTGGAAAAAATTGCTTCACAATTTGGAATCCCTGCTCTTTGATCGCTCTTCGGAGAGGAGGAGGGGGAAGGCACGGCGCGGTCATATGAGTAACACACCTCCCCGCAGTCAGCAGTTGTTCAAACCTATACGTTGTTAATAAGTGACCTTAACGTGCTTAATGTTAACAACCGAGTGCCAGTGTAAATTGTCCTGGCCCTCCCCATATCCCACTGTTTCCAGTAGGTGCTGTTTTCCTTCTACTCAGCAGGAAGGATTTAGACTCTCCTCAGCGGTTTTTGCTGGAGTTGCTCTTTTGTTAGCCAAAGCTGTTATTATTACACAAGTGCTCTACCCTCTGCCCCTGCCCGTAGCACAGAGCCTGAGATCCCTTGGGAGAGGAATGGGAAGATATTTTGATTTATTATTTGAACTCTTTATTTTGGTTGCAGCCAGCTCTGTTTAGGTGCTTGCTCCAGCAAGCTGGCAGAGGCTTCTCCACGCAGCACGCTGAACACTTGGTGCTCTTAATATGTAATATTTCCAGTGCCACCCATTGACAAGCTGTGCTTTATTAATGAATTAATCATGCTGTTACACAAACGCTGCAGAGAGGATGCCAGAAAGCTGAGTGCCTCTCCCACCTCCAAATGCATTCAGCTAATATAAAACTCAGTGCTCAGGAATAAATCAAAATTAGAGTTTTACTCTTGGAAGCAAATTCCATTTGTGTTTTTAAGTTGTTAGGGTTTTTTGCCCTAAATTGTATTGATCTCATATTTTAAAACTCAATGAGTAAATGGACTCCTGTTCATCACACGTGCTCATAATATTTGAAATGCCATAATGTTTGAAATCATGCCAGTAAAATTGAAGGCACCATTCAAAATGTTATTTATCCGTATATGCTGCAGCAGTGCTCACCAGCCCCAATTTCCAGAGCCAGAGAACAGCTGCATGAGAAGCTGTACAGAAGGAAAAGCCGGTTTACAGCCCAGGAAGACTTGCAACCTGAATCTGACATGCAAGAGAACAGCTAGAGGCAGAGCACCAAGGAAATAATGAGGCAGAGCTGGTAGCAGCACGAGAGGCTGCAAGCACAGCACTCCAGATGCTTGGCTGTTTTTCACAGGGATCATTGAAGAAGGAAAGCATGAGGAGAAGGCTAATAAGATACATTCCTGTGTTTCAATTTTGTTGTTATTATATTTATCTAGCCTTGCCTGTTCTGTAATACAGGCTGTGAGCCTCACTAAGTAATGCCTGCCTTTGGACAATAAGCCTACTTGAACTAGAGCATCCCTTTCAGTTAGATATTTAGTTGGTTAAAAAAGACCCCAAGTAGTGGTGATTCCCCCACATCTGAAATTATGCCAGCGTTCCATTGCCATGAGGGTTACCAGCCCCTGCCTTGTTTCTCATTCTGCTCTTGCGTAGCTTTAGCTTTCTGCCTTTTAATGTCCTTTTCTGCAAGATTTAATCTATCAGAAGACTCTTCCCCATGTAGCAACTTGCAGGCTATGACAAAGTTGTGGAAAAACTTCCCTTGGAAAAAGTAAGTAGATGGAGTTTCATTAGTCATTCACTACAAAGGATGTTTTCCAGACCTGAAATCATTCTTGTAATGCTTTTCTGAACACTTTCCAATTTTCCAACATCCTTTCTAAAATGTAGACACAATCCCTGGAATCAATACTGTAGTAAAGAGCTAAAGCTGAAGACCAGGGTATTCATGTATAACACATCACCTTTTTCCCACTCAGAGCTGCACCTACAACTCTCACAGCCACAGCAGTGCCTTTTTTTGGGGGGGATGTGTGTCTCATAATCTCTTTCATCAGTTCAAGAAATATAATTCAGCTTTTAGATGTATGTGTTTAGATGAACTCCTTACTATTTAAGCTATAACAGTATAATTAAGTCCTTCACCATAATTTTTTAACCAAAGGTTTGTATTTTACCAGCAGTGACAGTCTGTCTTTCCTTCCTTTCTCATGGTATTCAGCATGGAACAAAGCTTTCAACACCTGGTCCAGAGTATTGCCTTGATGTGACAATCCCCTCTTCACAGTGATAAACACTCCTGCCCAGTGCTCATGTGCTCAGCCTCTAGTGAGAAAGTCTGAACCCAAACTGAGGGTAAAGATTTGCTTTAGTATGTAAGAATAGACAAAATTGTTTCAGTACTAAAAGAGGCTTTGGTGAAGCCTTCATTTAAGAATATATGCTTGCCAACTCCTATGATTTTTTTATATTGGTGGTAGACTATTTTGAAGAGTCTTAAAGCTTCAGCTCTCAGCAATCTGTAATTAGTTGATGATGAAAACTGTTGCTAACAAAATTCTGTCCTTCCTTGAAAACACTTTTATTGTGTGTAGACTCAAAAAAAAAAATATTGAAGAGCAAATAAGTAGATGAAGATAATACACATCTATATTACCATCATGGGACTTTTGCAACAGCACTGTGATTGCATAAGAGTAAATCATGACAATTGAGAGATAGTTTCAAGTGTTCTTCATTCAAACATCAGGGCCCCAGCCTGCATGTTTTGTGTACACAGGCCTCCTGGTGATTTCAGCAAGAGCTGGAAGAGCTGTGGGAGTAAACAACAGGGTGCCAGATGGCCACATATGTTACATTTCCAGGTTAAATGTCGGCACGTAAATACAACAATTAGATATTTTTTTTCAGTGGGCTTCAAAATCAGAAGGCAGCAGATAAAATGTTATTCTTTTTTTTATTCCATAAACGGTTGTTATTGCAGCTTGAAGTGTAAGGTCTATGTGGTTGACTCTTTTGACAACATGAAATTATGAGGAGTGGTTTAGTTATGATTTCTTAAATATTTTGCTCATATCTGAAAGGAAAAAAAAAAAGAAAATGTTTTGCTAGTAAAACTGTAATTTACTAGCTAGTAAAACTGTGGTAGCATCAGGAATAGCCCCATTTTAAGAGATTACTCCTGTTATTATTATTATTATTATTAACTACAACAGTGCAGTTTTTTCAGCAGAAATCCCTATTCTTCAGAAATTCCAGTGGAGCAGCTGTGGCATGGCTGGTGGATGCTACAGTTTGTCGTGTTTAGATGTTTGTCATGTTTCAATTGCAAGCCAGCTGTGATGGCAAATTGTTTATTTACTATCAGCTCGGAACAATTTCTTGCAGCTCGCTGTGAAAACACCGCTTTAGACGCACATTAAACATTAACTGCTGACCTCACGCAAAGCAGGTGCAAGAAACAAGGTGTAGCAGTGATAGGATTTCTTTCTGTTATGCAAAATACGTGACTATAGGGCTGTTTGTGTTACTGTGTGTAAACCTCAGGAGACTGCTCCACTGATTAATTTACAAAGCCAGCCCCAAGTAATCTTAGACCTGTGTCTTCTGTGTACCACAAACTACCTCAGTATGTGCCATTATCAGCAGGTTGCCTCAGAACGGTACCACAAATAAGGGCTGCAGACACTGAGTAGAATTAATGAGCCATTGCCGGGTTAAAAATTAAATAGCAGTTACAAATGACCTGAACTATACTGAATGCCCTGCTCTAGAATCATAGAATGGTTTGGGTCAGAAGAAACCTTAGAGATCATGTAGTTCCAACCCCCCTGCCCTGGGCAAGGACACCTCCTACTAGACCAGGTTGCTCAAAGCTTCGTCCAACCTGGCCTTGAACACTTCCAGGCATGGAGCATACATAAACATACCTGTAAACTGGTTTTTTAAAAAGTTTCGAGGTAGACACGAAGGTACCTGTCAAGTATTTTTTGTTCCATTTCTATATTAGCAATAAAACCAAGCAGAGCAAGACACTTGCAAGTGAAACAGTCGCCAAAGTGTATTTCCCTGGTAAAATGCTCATCTTGGAGTAACTTAAAAATTCAGGCAGTTCCTAGCTGTCACACTGCAGTAGCTGATCAGCTATTTCCACATAAAAAGAAAACCCTGCCCTCTCTCTCCTTGGGCACCAAAGATGTCAGCAGAGCTAAAGCCTGAATCAACAAATCCAGCTGTGCATATCCCTGGACTCTGCCTGTATCCATATTAGCATGCTTTTAAGTAGAGGACTTTTGAAAATGGATTGATGATGTCAAAGAGCACAGTGGCAGAACAGCTCCAGCGCTGCTGCAGGCCCAGGGAGGCTGGATTCAGCAGGTGACCCGTGTGGTTGCTTTGTAGCCAAATTAATCCCGCTGTGCGCAGGACTTGGGTTTGGGCGTAAATAATTAAAGGTAGCGCTGTTCCTCACTTGATCCTGCAAGTCTCGGTCCCTGTTGCTAGATATCAAAGGCAGCTGGGTAGTTACTGAGGCTGCAGAGAAATGCTGGAGGAAAGCAAACACTCCCAGCAGTATTTATTGGTGGGCAGGCACGGCTCTGCGCACACGGTTCACGCGCGGCCGGCGGGTTGCGTCACACGGCTCCCTGAAGTCAAGTATTTTGCTGAATCAACGCCATATGGCCTGACAGTCTTATCAGAGATCGATCCTGTGTTGTGCAGCTGTCTCCCTTTGCCAGGAGGATTTCGTTGCTTTAAGAAAGGAAAAGGAGAAAGTGAGCTATGGCCTCTCCGGAGTGGGGTGGCTCGGCTGGATTTGAGACCGCAAGGCAGGTTCCCTCCAGAGGAATTGGCTCTGGAGCTTCAGGGATTTCCATCAGCTGTCTGCCAGACAAGAACATCACCTGTAGCCCAGAGAAATACTGGGTCATCTTTTATTGTGTAAAACTTGAATAAATTGCTGCTTTCCTATGGTTTTGCTGCAACAGTTAGGCAGGTACTTCCCTGACAGACCTTTTCCGCTGTTGCTGGTCACCACAAAACCACCCCCCTTATTTCTGAAAAGAACAGTGAACTAATGACAGCTTATGCTACCGACATCATCAAGTGAAAAATAAAATCTTCACCATCTATCCCTTTTTCCCAACAGGCTGACTTAAACTGCAACATCCAGGATGATACAGGAGCATTTTACGGAGTCACTAGTCAGTACGAGAGCTCGGAAAACATGACAATCACCTGTTCCACCAAAGTCTGTTCATTTGGAAAGCAAGTAGTAGAAAAAGTAGAGGTGGGTGTTGTGATGGGATATGTGTGGTGATGCTCTGGTTCCCTTTTATTTTACTTGGGCTTTTCTCTCTCTTGTCTTTACTTGATCTTACCTGGCTTTTCCTTCCTTCCTTCCTCTGATCCTTCCTGAAAGAATACTTTCCTTTCCAGCAGCGTTTGGGTTCATTTTAACCCATGTGTGAGTAGTAATAAGCCCCATACACACATCTGTTATCTGCAGTACAGTTTTTGTGTTGGAATTTTAGCCTAGAGCTGTAGGTTGAGCCTTTATAGATGTCCTGGTCGCTGTTTATGTCCTTCTTACACAAAATATGTTTTCTAACCATGGTGACCATAAATAAGGTTTTAACCATTTCCATTATTCCAAGCTTTGAGAAAGCAAAAAATCCCCACAAGCCACTGAGTAGCTCATCTGAGCAATTGGTAGCTGGGCAGCTGGAGTCCAAGAGTCACAGCCTTACCCTCCTTCAGCCCTTTATGAGCCCCTGCAATCTAAGTCAGCCTGGTTTTCTTCCACCTGTAGCCTTGCATTTTTCTGTAGTTCATAAATTGCGTACTAAATCATGCAATAATATATCAATGTTTGTATGTGTATACTTAAGCATAAATATATAAACTTATTTTTGCTGTTCTCTTTGCAGACAGGTGCCTCATAACTCCTTTAAAATCATCTTACCACAAAGTTTTCTGCCTAATATGATTTTTACTCAACTCGGACTTTCTGTTCTGTAATCCTCATGTGTTCAGTTTGTCAATTCACAGGTTTGAGAACAAGTAGTGATATTGTAATTTTTAATAATTAAGGGCCCTTGAATTTTTAGCAGGGCACTGCATAGCTCAGGCAGGGAGTCAGCAAGTAGGTGTGTGTGTGTGTCTGAGCCACTTTCTCTTTTTACTGTCTACACAAAGAAAGAAAAAAACAGATTTAGTGGTCACTTTCTAAATGCTCTTCCTTATTTTTTCAGACTGAATATGCAAGGTTTGAGAATGGCCGATTTGTGTACAGGATAAATCGCTCTCCCATGTGTGAATATATGATCAACTTCATACACAAGCTGAAACATTTACCCGAGAAATACATGATGAACAGCGTGTTGGAAAACTTTACAATTTTATTGGTATGGACTCACTTCTTACTTTTCCATTTCTAAAATACTCTCAGGCTTTGTACGTCTTGCTTAGCTTGTAATGTTGAGAACCAGTTTGCAGATCCCTTAGTCATGTTGCTTACTAGACAAGCCATCCCACTGACTTCAGAATGATACTCTTGGAATTGGGCACTATAGATGCTTGGGATGAAAAGGCTCAGCTGGCTGTGAACATGAACAAACATCCACAAATGTGGATGTTTTCCACATTTTGTTATTTTCCACAAATTCAGCTTACTTCTCTCTTTTTTTTCTCCACACAAGTCTGGTGTCTGTAGGGAGCCTGAGGCAGTAACTTTGAACCATCCCATGTGTTCATACTGAGACTGGGCTACAGTACCGCAAATATCAGTGGGGTTAATTAGTTCTTGGGTGGGGAAAACAGGCAGTTAATGCCCAACAGGTGATTTAAAGCACAAAGAATGGTCGGTGTGGTGTCCTTTAAGCTGGTTTCCTCAGTTACCCAGCTTGCTTTCAGTGCAGTGGCAGCTCAGCCAAGCTGAGGATTCGCTCAGAACCGAGGGCTGGCAGCACAGGGAGGGTGTGGGGCTGCAAGCACAGAGCCGTGTTCTCCCTGCCCAGCTCCCTTTGGCAAGAGAACACAAGGTGATGAGGGTCATTTCTTGTTTCAGCCCTGGTGTTTCCAAGTGTGTAATGTCCGGTCTCCCTCTTCCTTCCCCCAAACAGGTGGTAACAAACAGGGATACACAAGAAACCCTGCTCTGCATGGCTTGTGTATTCGAAGTGTCAAACAGCGAACATGGAGCACAGCATCATATCTACAGGCTTGTAAAGGACTGAGCAGTTATTTATATATACACTTCATTTCACTTCTTTATCAAAACACAGACTGTAAACCTCAAACACTAAGTGGCAGTGCCTCTGGCCCAACTTTCACCCACATTTTTCTAAATCCTGTTTTAGTGAAGTCATTTTTAATGTGTTCATATATAATTGTAGCTGTGAAATTCTGGTACAGTTGTAAAAATTATTTCTAAAACTAAGTGTTCTTCAAATTTGTAAACCACAGTTCTTTGGGAAGACTGTATTTAAGAACCTAATGCCTCTGTCTGTGGAGGCCTATTTTTAATTCTGATAGAAAAATGTATGACAGAGCATTTGCCATGGGGAAAAACTGACAGCGTTTATAAGAATTTATTTTGGGTTTTTTTCCAACATGAAATACTTGTTTTACAATGCAAGTGAAATTGAAATGAATCTTTAGCTATAACTGTAAATGAGTACGCAAAGTTAATAATCTTTATAGAATTATCTTTGTAACTAATTAGGGTGGAAGATATGGACGAATGTAATTCACTAAATTATTTTTTAAAATGAAACATTTTTCTGTTTGAAACCAAATGAAAAATATAGCCTTAAGAAATGCCTGATGGAAACAGACAGGTCCTAAAATTAGGCAAATTTTGTATTTTTTTCTCAACGCTAAAACTAATCTTCTAATCCATTAAACTTTCAAACAGGTATTGCAGAGAAAGAAAACATCATCCCTTACCCCTAACATATCTAGTGTATTTTAAAAGAGTATAAAGTTGTATTGTACTAATATGAAAATTTGATTATTTAATGAAAAAGATGGCTCATTTTGCAATAAGTAGGTAAATACTGAAGATTTAGACTTGCATTATATGTAGTCTTGTGTGTGCAGTTATATTTTATATGGACAACTGTGTTTTCTAATAAGTTGAGCAAAAAACTTGCAACTCTGAAATGAACAGATGAACGGAAACAACTGACATTGTGACAGCATCAAGTAATTCGTAAACAGAAAGCAAAACACTAACGTGTTTGAAAGAAGAGTATGTACAACTCTGAAAGGATCAACAGCTTTAATATCTATGAGATGCTAGAAAATCACAACCAACAATCAGGCAAAGAAGATTGGAAAGTGGAGATATTTTTTTTTTCTCCTTTTCCTCTCAGTCATGGTGCTCTTACACCTCCCCCAGTTGTCTCTCCAGTTCTGACTGGCCAAGACCTTTACAAAACAGACACATACGTACCACGTGGGGTCTGCTGTCCTTTTGCATCCAGATGTGGTAGTATTCATCCTTCTGATATATTCAGGGAAGACTCCAGGAAGAGAAGTACAGCTGGAGATATTTTAATACTGTAAGGATTTGAACCATGGATGTGGGTGTGAGTGATTGTCTGAGGTAGCACGTGTGAGAGCAGTAGTCTCATTCCTCCTGGTCACATCAGAGAGTGTTGCTCCGTTTCTTCTCTCCTGCTGCAGCCCAGCACAGCCCCTCAGTTGCCCAAGCAGTTGTTTGGGCAGGTGCTGGGCCAGCAGCGGGTTCTCATGTGATACCTTTGTCTGAAAGGCTGAGGGCTGCCCGACCAAGCACAAGCCACCTTAGAGATCAGTCATGAGGTATCAGCAAAGAGGGTTCTTGGGAAGGTCTTTTGTAGTCCCAAATCAAAGAAGTTAACGTTTAGCAGGTCCCTCCTCCCTACCCTTTTACAAACAGTGCCCACGCGCCATTTAAGTGTAGAATTTACTCCCAGTGCTGTAGTCTTCAAAAAAGAAAGCTGTTTGGTTTGGTTTTTTTTATATTATATGCCTGCATAGTACTGTCTGTTAGAATTGCCCATTGTTGAGTTCTCCAGACTAGAACAGAGCCTAGATGAGGCAGTGGGTCGCTGTATGTCTGCGTCAGACCAGGTTCAGACTCAGCACTGGTGAGGCCTCGGGTTAGAGAGCGGGTAGGTGGATGATTGCTGTGATGTCTAGCTGTTACCTGCTTGTGGATATTAGGGCTGATGATCTTTCAGTTTTATATTCTGCGAACTGAACAGAGAAATATGTCCATGGTAAAGTCTCTTTTAATGCTCATTTTTTAACACTAACAATCACATCAGGAAAAGCACTGCATTGTAACAGCCTAACGGTAGCCCTTTATTCTAAGCACTTGGTGTTACAAGTCAAAAACTACTTTGTTTTTTTGTTCTAAAGTTGTCTTTTATTTAGGGTTTGAATTGTGGGTTTGGTGATTTATTTTTTTTTAATTTTTTTTGTTTGTTTGATAACAAGCAAACTCTTTAAGGCATATAAAGTATGTAAGTCAATTTTCAAAACCAGGTACAGGTTTTTTTAATAGAGTCTGACACACTACATATGCCATAACTCTAGGGTATAAACAGTCACAATGTTTATTGGTGTTCACATATGTAATATTAGGGAAACTACTTCCATCGTCTTTTCTTTACACTTCTGTAAATGATCCATACCCTGTATATGTTAATTCTTAAAAGCCTTAATCCTTCAACTGTTGAGTGTGGGGTGTGTAGTCCAACAGGCTGCCTGTAAACTGTGAGCTCTTTTGTAAGCTGGAAGTACTTATCTTGTTACTGTTACTTTTTTGTAGGAACCTTTTAATTGAGAGCTGCCAAAGCATTACAATATGCAGTGCCTTAGCATTATATTAGAAGAACCTTTAGCCTCTTAACATAAATTTTATATGTTGTTTTATTAATTGGTTCCATTTTTAAAATATCTGTATTTTTTCCCACAGAAAAAATATTACTCTTTGACTGCTTGGTCTAAACCAACCGTCTGTACAAGTCAGTCCCATTCCTACGCAGATAAATGCCTATACCAAAAGGAAAGGTTACAGATTCTTAGTTCTCCGTGAAAAAGTGAATTGTATTAAGAAATGCTGCCTTTTTAAATTTCATGACCAAATAATTAATTGTGACTCTTCTGCACTCTAGCATGAAAGTGCCTTTGGTTTGAAATTCCAGCTTAGAAAAGTGCTGCCATAATAATGACAATTTGTAGAGAGACCAAAAATATTTAGTTATCACCGTAATGCCTTTGGTTTATTGGAATAAGTTGAATCTACAGGCCTCCATTCACAAAAGAGCACCATTCATAGCAAAGTGATTTTGCTAATGATCAGCCTGCTGAAGAATAATCTACTGTTTGCCATTTCTGACAGCATTGCAATCCAGCAACTGATTTGTCTGTGATATAAAAATGAAAATATTCACGTTGATATTCTCTTCATCCAGTCATGCATCTGCATAATGAGAGATCCATATACTGCAGAATTTCAGTGGACAGACATGACTTCACTGATCTCCTCTAATAATATTTCGGCATCTGTGAAGATTCTTTGTTTAGACACAAGATTTTGTTTACAAAGTTGTGCATGCTGAAAGTCAGCTGCATAAAAACCAAGATGAAAATGGAGAACCGAGAACAGTTATAGGGAAAATGGAATTGTGTGTTTTTAAGCATTGAAATGTTGGGTGTGAGCGTTGTGGATGAAGGTGCTGTTAGAGAAACTCTGGCCAGCACGATTCAAAACACAGGGTTGTTTTGTTTATCTCCCAGATGATGTCTTGGAAAAAAAAAATTAGCTCCTCTTAATTACGTGTCTGTATTTGATACCTTCTGTGAACGGGGGCCATACTGTACACTACAACTGAAATCGATGGGAAGAGGAGCAAGATTTTAAGAAAACAATGTTAGAAAGAACAAATATCAGCAAAACCAAAAGCTGTCAGAGGGATTATATAGTTGTGAATACAATTTTAACTTGATTTTTAAAGTATTTGATGAAAACTAAGATTAACTTTTTATATAGAGAAATATTGTGACACTGTGTGGTAAATATTGTGATAATTCAAGTTCCCTTTCTCTAAAATATTATTTTTGTTATTCCTTCAAGGTCTAAATCTCACTTACCTCTATAAGATAAGTAATCCTGTTGAACATAATGAGACTGAGGTAGGGCAAAGACACTTTAGCCCCACAAGCAGAGCAAAACATTTTCAGTTATTGCCAAACGTTGCAGCTGTACTAGTCAATATTTGTGATAAACTACACCTCTGTCTCGTTGAAATAAGAATAATGGTACCATTTGGGGCTGTTAAAAATTACTACTAACAAGTGTAGTTTTACTTACTTGAATTCCAGACCGATTTTATTTAGGTACTGCACCACTATTTTGAAGGAATCACAGACATAATGCCTGTTTCTCACTTTCCCTTTCTCCCGCAGCTACAGCTCAGTAAGTTTGGCAGTAGCTTCTTCCGTTAGACCTCCATGGGATGGGCTATTGGGAATAATGAAGGGTGTACATTAATGTTGAATGTAAGTAACTGGCCACTTCGGGGCAGATACAGCATTTGACGTACTAATCCATATCTATTTATTTTTCCACTGCGGGTCCTGGGGTGTACTTGCTTCCTGAAGCAGTTCCCCCTTGGAGTTTTCCTGGAGCACTCAGTCAGTCATACTGAGAAACTCCTTTCCTTGACCCATACTGAATACACTGATACACATGCCCAGTCACACAGCAGATGTGTATAATAGAATCCAGTTTTGTACTTTTCTCAGGATGATCTCTTTTTTTCCCTCCCCTCTTACCTTTCATAACAAGATGTTTAGCCCCCTAAAAAAAGATTTGAGGCTGGATAAGTCAAAGTACAAGAAACACTTCGGACATCTTCATCTTTTAACTTTTCAGGTCATTCTTGCTGAGATCATGTCATTAGTTTCAGTGTGTAAATTAAATCTTAAATGCACTCAGTTGACTAAAAGGAGATGGATCCCTGTTACCTCCTTACAGAGTATATGTTTTTGTTTTGTTTTGTTTTGTTTTATGGGCCTCTGATTCAGGCTCACGACTGCAGACAAAAAATACAATATGTGCCTGAAAAAAAAAAAAGACAAAAGAATTTTATAACATTGAAAACCTGAATAGCCTTTAATTCTTCAGTACATTTTATGTAAAACAGGTTGGGTTTTTGTTTTGTTTTGGGGTTTTTTTGCCATGTGCATTTGTTCACATTTGTAAATGACTTAATGGAATTCTCACTTTATGTTTATTTGTGTAATGTGTATAAAATGGGTTTGTGACTTAAGCATATTCATATATGGTCAGTGGTTACTTTAATATTGTACTGCTGCTGGTAACTTTTGATGTAGAACTTGCCTTTTGATGATAAAGTACCTCTAGGTTAGACAGTGAGGGAAGGCTCTTGGAAAAAAACTGAATGTTCTCCAATGTTTTCTTAACATATTTGCAGAAGCTTTCAAAAGGAGTTTCAGTCAAACCTCTTGGCAGTACAGTATTCTTGTATTTGTTATTGTCTGTGTGTAGGTACTGGTACCTTTTTTTTTTTTTTGTTTAAAATGTTTTAAGTGTTGGCTTTAAAGTGAATTTATCTTTAGTATGATAGTAATATGAAAATTATAGGTTTTGTGTGCAGAGAATTTTTTTATAAAGTGCTTTGTAAAAAAAAAAAAAATGTATTCTAGCTTTCGCGGTACATATGTGTGATAACTTTAATATCCATGACAGTTAAGTGCAATTATTTCATCACTCTAAAAATGCTATTTTTGTGTCGGTTACTGCAGGTGTTTTCATGTCTTTGCAAAGTGACACATTTTGATGCCTTCTTGATAAAGTGGTAGAATTTTTGTAGCTTTCTAGAAACTTTGTATTCATACAGTATCGATTGAAAATAAAGACAATGAAAGTGTTTTGTGCATTTATCTTAATCTCTTACATCGATCTGTTTTTAATGCCGGGTTTAACTTTCAAAACTATCTTCCAAAAGAGCACAAGGCCTGACTTGCAGCAGTATCTCTGTACCTTCCTAAGGGTACAAAGGACATCCACCAGGGTTTACAAAAACCTGTAGGGATGGCACTTGAGGAAGTGGCACATCTGGAAGCTCTGTTTAACCAGGAGTCCATAATCCTTCCTCTAGCTTGTGTGTCTTCCTAAAGAAACGATGGTTTTGAAACAGCAGTTAAACTGCACTGTTAAAATGGGAAAAGCCACTCAGGCCCCTTTATTCCAGGAATGACCTGTTCAAAATCTTACATAATAAACGGTTCCAAATACATCATTAACTTGGCAACTAGAGCTGAGTGAGGAGCGTGGTAGTTACCTGAGGTTGAGGTGTTTCTTCCAGGACAGTGGGAACTGTCCTACTCTGTGGGAACTGAGGTCCTAAAAATGTGACATCCTTTCAAGAGATTGGTTTCTTGTTTTCCTTGAACCACTTGCCCCTCAACTACCCGCTGTACCTGGTGTGATGAGAGGATGAAGCGTGGTCAAATAGTCTCCTTCATTCACGAAGTGTAATCACCTAGCTAGGAAAAAAAAAATAGAGAAAGGAAAAGAGAATAAGAGGGATATCCTGGATCAACTCAAATCAATGGGAAAATTACCAGGAATTGGCAGAGGGGAAAAAAAAAAGTACATCTGGCTCGTCTCTTCAAAAGGGGAGCAGTGGCTTTTGAATAAACCACATGCCCCTCCCATACTCCCCAGTTCTCCTTTTGGGTGGCAGATGTTGCACTGCCATTTTTAAAATGCCAGCAGAGCACCCCCCATGTGCAAGATGAATGGGTTGAGAACAATGCACAGATATGGTCTGTTTTGACCCTGTTTTCTCCTCTTTGTTCCCCATTAAGTATATGGCTTCAGCCCTTTGAAGTGGGTTAGCAGTTTCAGAAGCAACCTGCTTCTTAATTAAGGTTCTGCTTCTTAATTAATTTAGGTTAGAACCATAAATCTTCCACCTTTGGGAAAAGTGTCATGCAGCATTTCAGGTTGGGAGTCCCCAGTGCAGTGTCACACCATTAGTTTATTAATGAGCTGGTTTCAGCAGAGGCAGCAGCCTCTCCCTGAGGAAGCCTGGCCTGGTTTTCACTGACAGGGAACAAAGAAGACAGACCAGTTACTCCATGCACAGAAGGATGAGCTCTTTGTGGTCCATGGACTTTTCTGTGGATTTTAATGTGGTTTTTTTTTTTTTAAAGATACAGCCTATAGGACACTACAAATCCAGAACACATTTAATGCTCACAAACCCCAGGAGGAAAAGGAGGGTTCAGAGCTAAGCAGTGTGTTAGCAGATGTCTGTAGTTCCCCCACACAGCTCTAGCTGTTCATCCCAACCCTGACCTTTCGCAGCCTCACTATTGTTGTCTGGGGCCCTTTGAGCAGAAACAGCTGAACAATCTGTTACCCCAAACAGTGCCAGCTTAGCAGTGGTCATAAATAATTACCTGCCCTGTAGAGAGGTGTGACACTTAACTGGTTAATGGTTCTAAATTGTTATATGATTGCTGATGTTTTGTGAGAGCTAGAGCTGTGCTGGAAATGCTAGAAAGCTGGTGAAGGTGGGAATGGCAGGAGGGAGTGGGTACAGAGACACTGTACTAGAAGTATAAGGAAAAGGAAAACTGAAGAGACCTAGAGAGCAAGTGACTGTGAGGAAATGAGTAGCAGGGTGTTGCTTTTCAAAGAAAATCAAAAGCTGAGGACAGGACAAAATAGGAAGAAGGGAGAAAAAAAGATGATTTGAAGACCAACATCACCAATAAAAATTCATCAGAAGGAAGGAGGGAGAATTCAGACTAAGAAAAAAGCTACAACAAAACAAACATTCACCTTCTAGGTCAGTAAATATAATTGCTGCTTTTTTTTTTTTTTCCCCTCCTGTATTTTTTATTATAAGCCCTTTCTAGGTTGGGACATATCCTCTTTAAGCTTGAGGGAAAGGGCTGCTTTAGGCTTCCATTCTTGTGTGCCTCACTGGGGAGAGCTGCTAAAGCCTGAAAACTTTAGCAGCAAAGCACCCTGTAGCTGCTCTGACAGATGAGGAGCTGTCAGCTCGGTTTCGATTAGAAAAGAGGGAGAAAGAGAACCATGAGCAACGGCCAGAAGAAAATCTGAAACAATCAGCTAAACAAAGACACTTGAGTGCAAGTGACTGATCTCAATTTATCCAGCACTAGTGATTTCTCAAGCCACCTTCTTTCCACAGATGTGTGGGTTTGGGTGCATGCACAGAGTCCATTAGAGCTTGATGTTTTTCAGAATATTGCTTTTCGTGCCCCTCACTCTATTCCTAGAGCTCAGAGCATAGCAGGTAACCTTGATGTTACTAAACTGGAGAAGAAAGCCAAAAAACAAATGTTTTTTTCATAAATCTGCTTCCAAACATCTTTTATCATCTTTGAGAGGTGTCCACACACACAGAAGAGTTTTGGAGCCTTAGGCATTATAGCTGTTCCCTAACTCTGGCAAAAACAATGTCCCATGAAGGGTTGTGTTTGGGGCCATCAGAGCAGAGGGTGCAGGAGCTGTGGTTAATATGTATATATCCTTTTTCATTCCTCTTACTTATACAGTTCAATGAGAGAATTAGCTCACAACTCATCCTTACCTTGCAGTGCATCTCAATGCTCTGTTTTCTGGACCTCCAGCACAGAGAGATTATGGCAGCAGCTTTCAGACTTACTCTCTGTTTGAACAGAGCACTGAGCTGTATGTGCAGCTGCCTTTGCCAGGGGGTTAACAAACTACAAACTGATTTTTTTTCCTGCCCCAAGCATGTAAGTTTATTATACATATTTAAAGATACTTCTCCATGTCTTTTTCTGTTGGCAGAGCCCAGAGAATAAGTGTTTTTTTCCAGACTTCTAAAAATTCCTTTCTGCTTAGCTCAGATGTTCTCTGCAGTGTTATCAGAGATTTAATTTTTTTCAAAGATACTTGTCTTTTCTTACCCTTTCACCTGTGATGTTGAAGTAGTGAGCATTATACTTGGCAAAATGTACAAGAACAGCATTCAATTTATAACTATTCCCTTCAGTTCCCTATAAGAACATTTCCTTTTTGACACAGCTCTACATGAGTTGAAGGGGATGGAGGGGGGAATGCCTGTGTCTTCATGATGTTTGGCTTTTTGACCTGAAGCCACATATGACAAACTCAGGCAATGAAATACTAGATTGAACCCCATTGCACACATATCACAGCATTCCACAGCACAGAGAATCTAACAGCTTCACTGTAAAATATATGTATTGCTTTTACTTTGACTGTATTATATTTTTAACAGAGTTTAATCTAAGCTTTATCACGAGAACACCGTGATGGGTGGAAACTGGACATTGCAGTTCACCTCCAGAGTTTACAGCAATAACGTGGGAGACAGAACACTGGTCCCAGCAGAGTTTGTGCTCCCTATCTCCTCCAATGATCTCCTGTTCTGAGGGAGGTGGTGGTGAGTAATATTTGGGAGGTGCCCCAAGGCTTGCCAGCGATAGGCTCTGGATAAGCACGAAGGAACAGGTAGATGTGGTGCAGTGACAAGCAAACTCTAAACTTCTTGGCTTTCCTGTCCACTTTCACACATCTCCCAGATAACAAAAGGACATAGTATCATGTGAGCAGTGAACACGAAAAGTGTCTTGAGATCTGAGAGCCCCCCCCCCACCATTTTTGCAGAGTCTTTCTCTGCAACTGCTCCCTTCTCTAGAAGGCTATTGCTTGAGACCAGGATCCCCGGGCCCCACAATTCCTCTTCATTCTGGGTGAGGCACTGCAGGGCATTCAGAGCACTCAGACGTAGCTCTGGCATCAGCTTAGCGCTTTTTTTGCACGTGAAGAAAACATCTTCCCGTTAAGAACTTCAGTGCTGGAAGTGGTACAGAGGTAACAGCAGCTCTGAGAGAGCAAGACTAAGGGCTCAGGAGCCACTGAGAGGAGACAGGACAGACATGGGCGGTCAGACTGGCTGTCTCCATGTGTCCTGCTCTAGGCCACTGTGGTTTCTCAGCTGGGAAGGAGGTGGAAAGAGAACTCTCTACCCCTGCATACTGTAGCACCAAGAAGCACAGTGAAGGAAGTTGGCTTGAAGGTACCTGAATACCAATGGAAAGGAAGCATTAGCCATGATTTGAAGATGAAGCTGATGAAGCAGGAGATAGGGGAAAGGCTCTTTCAGAGAACTGCAGAGGAGAAGGATTTTCCACTACCTCTGGTCAGACACATAAAAAAGCAGAGCAAAAGTCAGTGTTGGCCAGCTGGAGGCAGCTGGAAAAGTAGCAAACAAAGAGAAATGAACCCAGAGGACCAGCCTGAGGAAAGAGTGCAGAGTGCTCATTATAATGAATTAATATGAATATGGCCAATAACCTGGTAGGGAACCACTGAGTGGTGGAAGAACATCAGATAATACCTGAAATACTGAAAGAACAGATGCAGAGCTCTGTGTGTTCAAGTGGGTAGATAGTTGTGAGTGACCACTGCCAACGTCAGAAGTTTCTGCACAAATTAGGCTTTTTTGGGTGTGTCTGTCCATGGGAAAGCTGTGGATGCAGCAGTAGACAGATTTACAGACAACAAAGATCTGGGAGGGGGTGGAGAGTTCAAGATCAGGGCTGCCCACGGGTTCCCTGTGAAGGAGGTAGGTAGGAGGTCAGGGAGAGCGAGGAGATAAAAGCCATGGAGATAGAGCTGCACAGCACAGACCTGTGCAGTGGTCTGTCAGCTCCAGCAACCAGCTCTTCCTTACTAGGAGTGTGTGGTGATGTGCTTGTGTCTGCAAAACAGGGGGAACAGGGAAGTGGTGAGGCTAACAGCTCTTCAAACACACAGTCAGGGTTGAAAAAAAACAACACGTCACCTGGAGCTCATTTTCGGCTGCCTGTTGACAAGACAAGTCTTTATGCGTAAGAGAT